TGTGCTATGGAAGTCACAGGGGATCCTTCCAGCTCCCTGCAGCCTGCAGGCACCCATTTCCAGAAACTGGGGGGGGGGGAAGGCTCCTCCTGAGGAGGGTGAGTGGCTGCACTGTGGCACAGACGGCTGGGCTCACCGAGTACCCTCTCCCCACGCACCCCCCCCCGCCCCAGCCATCACCAGGACGTGGCCTTGGGCATGGAGAGAGGGAGGCCTTGGGGAGTACCATCATGGAACCTGTTGGCCAAGACCCGCAGGCTAAACTCACCCAGTCCAGGGCCTCCGCAGGTGCCAGTGCTCTGACTAAATCCCAGGGGGAGGCCACCCTTTGTGACAGGTTTTTCCAAGCAGGTCATGCCAAAACAGGGCACAGGGGAGGGTGCCCTGGCCCTGGGATCCTGGCTGCACCCGGGCTGGGCTGCCCAGAGTCCTACCCTCCTGAACTAGACCTCAGTGCCTGGCTCCCTGTCTTCCTCTGTGGCCCCAGCTCTCCACCTGATCCTTCCTGAGGAACCAGACTTTTAACTGGAACTCTAACACATGAACACCCAGCCTTTAAAGCCCTACAGGGAGGTATAGCTACAATTTCCTGAGCACCTACTACAGGCCAGGAAATATGATCACATCATTTCTTTTAATCACTCAACAATCCCATGTGCTGGGCATTGTTATTACTTGCATTTGAAAGATGAAGCCCCTGAGGCTCAGAAAAATTAACTAGTAAGCTCAGATCCTTGGGGAACCACTAATAAATATGGACATGATTTTTTTTTTTCAAGATTTTATTTATTGGGGCACCTGGGTGGCTCAGTCAGTTAAGCATCTGGCTTGGGCTCAGGTCATGATCCTGGGGTCCTGGGATTGAGCCCCGAGTTGGGCTCCCTGCTCAGTGGGGAGCCTGCTTCACCCTCTCCCTCTGTCCCTACCCCCCACTCCTGCTTTCTCTCTCACTCATCCACTCTCTCTCAAATAAATAAATAAAATCTTTTTTAAAAATTTTGTTTGAGAGAGAGAGAGAGAGAACATGAGTGGGGGGAAGAGTGGAGAGGGAGGGAGATGGAAGGTGAAAGAATCTCAAGCAGACGATCTCATGACCCTGAGATCATGACCTGAGCCGAAACCAAGAGTCGGGCACTTAACCGACTGAGCCACCCAGGCGCCCCAATACTGACATGATTTCTAAGGCTTTTTAGAGTGTGATTTGCAGTATGTATGTGTATGTTTTAGTGACACAAAGCTCTGATATGGAAGAAAGTAGATTCAAGAAATTCCTAAATATATTCCAGCTAAGTGCATTTTACTTATTTTTCAAGGTTGGGTTCAAATCCTACCTGCTCTGTGCGGTCCACCCTGACTGCTCCAACCCTCAAGGATTCCCCATGTTCCAAACCCCAGCCCTATCTCTACAGCTTTCCCGCATGTGCAGCATTTTGTGGGTTTGCCACTCATCCACCATCACAGTGTCAGGCCGCCAAGGACAGGGACTGCATTTGCCAAACTTTCTGAACCTCCCTGCTGCAAAGATTTCCCTGGCTATGAGAGCTGAACCCTGCAAGGAAGAGATGCAGTTCATTTTAAGCCTTGACTCCCAAATCCCGTCCACCTTTCAAGACATGGGCAGCAGCTTCTCTGACCACACTGGCTGAGAGTGAGCGGCATCACTTTTTGCAATTTTGAGCAAGTCACTCCATTCCTCCCAGCCTCGGTTTCCTCATCTATAAAATGTGAATATATGCACCTGCCTTACTGGGTTGTATGAACTGTAAGTGTTACAATGCATTTGATGTAGTGCCTGCACATAAGCCATGATCCAAAATGATAGCCAGCATCATTACTGTTACTATTACATCACACTGTCTTTTAGGGAAGGCATTTACACACGTGCCTTTTCTAACCTTCTAGATCAGTGGTTCTCCAATTCTGGAGTATGTCAGAATCACCTAATATGAAGCTACCTAGGGCACACCCCAAACCTACAAAACAGAATCCCCATTAGGCAGCAGAGATGGTGGGGCCAGGGCAGCGCCACTTTGAACAAATCTCCCCAGCCCACTGCAAGTGATTCTGGCATGTGCTCTCCGAGCCTGGAAAATTCGGCTAGACAATATTCAATCTCCAAGTTTTTTTCCCATAGAACTCTAAGGTTCCAAAGAGATACTTCCAACCCTGTGGTTCCCAACCTCGGCTGGACTGCAACTCCTAGAGATTCAGATGTTGGTCTGGGATATGACCGGGGTGTTGAGATTTCTCAAAGGTGGACAGAAGATTCCAACGGTTGGTCGGCCAAGGTTGAAAATCACTGGTCAAACATTTGCATGCCCTCTGTGACAAACTGAGCCCCAATCTGACACTGATTTTACAGAAAGGCCTCTTACGCTAAAAGAAAAAAAGTGAGTTTGCAAACAGCTGGTCTAGCCTGTCAGTAAGAGCTTTCAGCCCCCAACCTGGCTTTTATTCACCTTTGTGTCTGTCCCAGGACCTTACAACATAGTAAATACTTAATAAATATTTGCTGGAAGGTTGAATAGTTCTGTTTTATTTGTTATCTGGCTCCAATTAAGTTTTCAGTTGCCTAGCGTAACAGCCTAACAGTTTCTTAAACAACTAAGCCTTAACAGCCTTTGCCTCAAACCTCAAACCTGAAGCAGAAAGTGAGGCAGACAGCCATCCAGCGAACACACTGACATTTCTTCTGGGGTCACATATACTATGCAAGTTCCTAATGACTGATAAATATAAGCAAATGTGATTTTCGTCAGCCGGGAAGAGCGTGACAGTTGTCGGCAGCGCAGGCCTCCCAGCCTAATATTTGGATTGTTCCATCTGAAACTGTCAAATTACAAGAGCATGATAAAAACTTGTAGGAACTTCATAGTAAACAGTAACTGGCCCCCTGTCAATACGTTAGGAGAAAAAAATTTCCTGCTGCCAAAACACATGGGCCAGAATGCCTGCAGTACAGGCCTGCAGCCAACTAGAGCCTGTTCCCTGGGCAGCTCTTCTAGATTCTCAACCACAGCAGCTGTAAGAGAAGGCTCTGAGCACTCCAGGGATCTGGGAGCCAGAGCACCTTCAACTCTTAGCTTTTCCACGGCTCTGGGGCTCTGGAAGCCCTTTCACCTCGTAGGTCCTCAGATTCCTCGTGTGTAACTGCTACTTGATTGGGTCCTTAGCGCCATGACTGCCTAGGTTTGAATCCCAGCTCTTTACACACTGGCTGTGTTGCTCTGGGCAAGTTTCTCCACTTCTTGGGCCTCCTTTTCCTCACCTCTAAAATGAGGATGATATTAGCACTATTTCATAGAGCTGTCAGTGTCAAGGGACAAGAACAGTGCCTGGTATAGAACAGGCATTCAACAGATCTTAACTATTATAAACCTGCAAATCTCAAACCAAGAGTTTTGAAAATGAAGCTTTTGTCTTTCCTTTTCTCCTTATGTTTTTGTTGGTTTGGTATCAAAATTCACCGGGCGGCACACCTGAGCTTAAGGGACACAAGACTACTGGGATCTTTTGTTATCCTACTTAATACGAACTTTCAAAAGTTTCACTGCAGGATAAGGCAGTCAGTTATGGGACGCTGCCTCATACCACAGAAGAAATGCCATTAATATGTGAAATATGCCCTGAATTACCTTTAAAAAATCTGAGAAGTTCTGGATTCTGAAATGCACTGGCCATAAGGATTTCAGGTAAGGGAATGGGGAGCTATCCTCTTATGGGGTTGTGGTCGGATAAAAGGAAGGAAGCACCCTCCCAGCGGATGTCTCTTTTCCCTCCCCCTGCCAGGCCCTGCCAGGCCTCAGAACTCACAGCTCTTCCCTTCTTCTATCCACCCAAATTCGATTTATCCTTCAGAATTCGGCTAATGCACCTTCCCTGTGAAATGGTCCTCTCTAAACCCTACTGACCATGTCAAGAGCATGTGGCTGGGGAGGGTGGCTGGGTTGCATCTCCTCTACACCTCCGGGTGGCTGGCACTGATAGCCTACTGCACTAGGCTGACAGGGACCCTCCTGAAGCATCTAGCCACAGGGGGAAAGGGTGGTCATCAAGGCTGATGTCTGAACTGCAAGTGACAGGAGGGGCCGGGCAGTCCACCTGACAGCTCATCCCACCCGCCCTGCCTGGGATGGACGCTAACTTGGCTTGATGACTAAAGTATACATTTCTGAAGCACAGGGAGCGTATCTCACACTTCCCGTTCTCCCGGTAAATGTTCGTTTATTGTTGTTGCTGCTTTTGTATTAATAAGCTCTCGGAATCTATCGTGGACCTAGGAGCACTCAACAAATGCTTGTGAATGAACGCTGAGTCACCTGTAATATTGGTTGATTAATTCACTGACCTTGCTACCTTTCCCATGGGCACCGCCCAGTTGGGCATATTGGTGCGGGCCTAGCCATGGGAGGCGTTCTAGAGCTACACAACCGTTTTAATGCTACCATGCCAACAGACTCTATGCAGACTCTAAAAAAAGTCTAGGTCCTTAATTAGACATAGCCTCACAGCAGCGTATTCACTCAAAATTCTCTGGAGAAACTTTCTAGAAAAGTGCATAGATTCCTGAAACCAACTGGGAGCACGTGTGACTCCAGACGTTCAATTTGTCCAAGGATTCGAAACTCGTCACATCCACCCGGCCGGCGGCCACGGACCTCCCTTGGGCCCTGCTCCCAGCGCGCACTGGCTCCAGCGGGCTCCCCAGGGCCCGCCTTCTTTCACCCCTCCATGGGGCCTCCCTAAGGTTGATGCCGAAAGGCCGCCTCAGAATTAGCTTCACTTTGAAGACTATTCAGAACCACAGAGTGGGGTGGGAGTGGCCTCAACGCTTTAAAGGGCTGCAAAATAAATCAAAAGATGAAAGGAAATACGCAGAGCCAAGAATTCCTCCCCAGCCGGCAGAAGCCACGCATTCACCGCGCCGGCAGGGGCGCAGAGCCGCACACGGGACGTCGGGGAGGGCGGGGGCGAGGGCGGGGGCGGGCGCGCGCGCGTACCTGCTCTCCGCCGTGGGGTCGCGGCCCCGCGCCTGCGGGTGCCGGCTGCCCCGCTGCCCCGGGCCCTGGCGGCTGGCGTCGGGGCCGGCGGGGGCGCGCGGCTCCTCGCGGTCGCGGCTCCGGTGCAGCGGCACCGACGTGCGCACGGCCGACACCACGTGGCCCGCGAAGGCGCGCGGGGGCGCTCCGGGCCGCAGGGCCCCGCGCGCGCGGTACGAGCCGGGCAGGCAGGGCCGCGTCTGCTCCATCACGCCGCCGCTGCAGCTGCGCGAGCAGGCGGACCAGGGTCCCCAGGCGCCCCACACGCCCGGGGCGCCGCCGCCGCCGTCCTCGGGGACGCCCTGGGCCGCCGCCATCCGCTGCGGGACCTGCAGAGACAGAGGCCGGTTAGGGGACCCGAGCACCCGCTCCTGCTTCACGCGCAGAGGCTCTGGATAACCCGAAAGCCCCATCCGTTAGACACTAGTAGGCACTGGGCCGGTTTTTAAAATCAGAAGAACGAAATGAATATAATCCAGCCTGGGTGATATTCGTCTTTATACCAACGCACTCCTAAAATAGAACTTTAACTTTTTTAACGGGGGAAGGGCCACACAAAGATTAAAAAAAAGCCTAAGGCTCACAAACGTCCTAATTCGGTCCTCGCTTCCGCTGCCATGGCCTTGGAGAGCTCAGGGTGGTGCCCTCAGCTCTTACTGAGGCTTACCCCTCAGGAGTCCCCCTTAACCTCCAACTTTGGTCCTGGGGTGCAGGCCAGAGGGACTGGACTTCCCTTTAAGCTGCTGGGGAGGCCCCGTGGCCCAGTCTCCATGCAGTAAAGACGATGGGACACTGCAGTTTAGAGGCCCTGCCCTCAGGTCGCCTCCCTGCCACCACTTCTAGCCGTGTGACTAGGAAGTTTCTGAATCTCTCTGAGCGGAGCTGTGTTCTAAAGAAGGATGGTACCTACCTCACGGGGACATAAGGAATTTAAGTCCGGTCACCCATGTGCAGAGCAGGGAGCCTGGCACCAAATACTTGCTAGTAACCATAATGATGATTTTCCTGCTTCCATGGTAAATCAGAAGAAGTGAGAAATGTCAGAAAGTTTTAAAGTTCTAACCTGGAGGGTGATTCTAAACTCCTATTCACTTCACCAATCATTTTACAGAGAATAGCTATGCCAGACATGGTGCTCAGTGTGGGGACACAGTGTCCCTTCATTATGCGGACACGCTCTGAGCACCAGCTATCCCCCTGCGTGGAGCTAGGCCCTGAGGACCAGGAGAAAAGCATCCCAGAGCCACACAAATGGCCTGGACCCAGCAGAAGAGCTCTATGCAGCTAGCACAAGATTGGGGAGCCTCGTGGGGGGACCGGCTGCATAAGGTTGGGTGGGGTGGGGAGGGGAGAGGGATTAAGAAGGCCTCAGAGGAGGAGTCCTGGTAATAGCTATAATAGTCCGGTGTGCACTCAGTACCAGGTGACAGGTGTAATCTCCAGGCTTCACCGTGGCCCTGGTGTCTACCATTCTCACCTCTCAGAGGTGAGGTTTGCCAGCTGAGGCTCAGAGCCGTGTGACCTGCTGCAGCCAGGGTTAGAGTCAAGTCTCCCCAACTCCCAGTCCCACAGCTCCAGCACTCCCTGCCCTCCTGCAGCAGACAGATGCCCTTGTGTTTCTGGATCCTTCGCCTGGAATGTCCTTCTTACCTGTGGGACACTGACCAACACTATGACTTTCCTTGGAACGTGAGTTTTTCAGAGAGCCTCACCCTTCCATCTGAAGTACAAAAAGCCATGATTAACTTGGCCTTTTTTTTTTTCTCTCTTTAGATCTTGGTTTTTGACAGCATTTTTTGGCCCAAAGCTCAAAGCTCAAAGACTTTTCAAGGTTGAGTCCTCTGTCTCCACAGTACCACTGAGCTATGAGACGGTCCAGGGATCGTCCTCCCCTTTGTGTGGAACAAATCCAAGAAGGCAGAGCTCCTTCACACCACATGGAAATGAGAGGTAGAGCTAAGATTACCTCGGAGAGGGGGTGTAAGGGCTTGATGAGGAAACCCACTTGATGTGCCTGAGGTAAGTGCTCAGGAAGTGGTGGTCCCTGCTGTAGCAGGGACTGTAGTCACTACAAGTGAGGGCTCAGGCCTTGGTTAGAGTCCTTGCCCCCAGGCAATCAGTCACCCTGAAGCCATGGGGCTTGTTTAATTGAGGCCATTTGCCTTTGACTACATTCCAGTGCAGAGTGGTCTGTGGATGACCTCTGTAGCGGGAGTTCCTAAAGGTTCAGGGAGCAGCTAAGGCCGGATGAGACAGAGCTGAGGGAACCCAGGGAGCAAATGAGCATCTAACCCGAGGGTTAAGCCCAGAGCTGGATGTCAGACAGCCAGCCTTTGGGAGCCATGTTCAGAGAGCCAAGGCAAAAGGCTGGAGGTACTGTGGGCTGGAGCCAGCGGGAGATGGGGTCAGAGCAAGGGCAAGACAGAAGGTTCTGTGACAGGAGGACTGCAATTCCTTAACACCAGTATGTGAGCAGCCGCAGGGTGGATGGGTGTGTGAATAGTGAACACATTCAACGCATCACTACTAAATGGGGGATCCGGGAAAGAAGACTTTTTACCTGCTTATAAATACAAACAAAACAAAACAAAAACAAGCTTTTGTTCTTTCTTCCCCTCTCTTACCTATCCTGATTTTTAAATATCAGACTGATCATGGATTCGCTGAGGTGATTGCAAAAAAATGTGCTTCATCAGGCCACAGTCTTGATCTAGAAAGTAATCCCTAAAGTGTGTATAGTGAGTTGAATGGTGGCCCTCCCAAAAAGATATGTGCCGTGCCCTAATCTGCAGAACTTGTGAATATAACCTCGTTGGGAAAAAGGGTCATTCTCTGTGTCATTAAGGATCTTGAGATGAGAACATCCCAGATTTTCCAAGCGGGCCCTAAACCCAATGACAGGTGTCCTTATAAGACACAGAAGAGAAAATACAGAGAGCAAAGGGCCGTGTGACCACCGAGGCCGACCGGAGAGATAAAAGCCATGAGCCACAACACAGGGAGCCACCACAAGCTGGAAGAAGCCAGGAGGATGTCCCCCTAGTAACTGGAAGGAGTACGGCCCTTGATATTGAACTTCCAGCCTCCAGAACTGTGAGGAAGAAATTTCCATTGTTTTAAGCCATCGAGTTTGTGGTAATTTGTTACAACAGCCCAAGGATGCTAATGCAGTGCTTAGTACTTTCAGGACAAGGAAGAAAAGTGGACAGGCATCTGCTGAGCACCTTCTCTGAGTCTGGAATTGTGCAGACGCCATGTAGGGACCGCTCTCTGGCACAGGCACCATTAGCTCCATGGTACGCTTTACAGGGTGCCTCAGCCACCCTGAGAGGTTGGTGTCATTTTGTCCCTTCTCCGGAGAAGAACTGGGGCCTCCAGAGGCTGCATGACTGCCCAGGCACAGGCTGGTAAGGGGCACAGGCAGGGCTGACCCTGAAGCCTGCTCATTCCTATTCCTGGGTTCTTTTTTCTTTTCCCCTGTGGCATGTTGCCTCCCTGCCTGCTTTTGGTGGAAAATCGAAGGGTAAAATGAGTCGAAATTAATCCCCTTTGATAGTTCTAGAAGGGTAAGTGGGGTAAACAAACAAAGGCAGAAGTACGTGTCTGGCACATCTGGGGATTTCAGGTATCCAGGCCCTCCGGATTTCTCATGAATATAGAGGAGGAAGGCACTGTCGCTAACATTTGCGTGAGACATGCAGCTACACTAAAACTCCACTTCCTAGAACTAATCCCACCCTTAATTTAGCTTCCCATTGCCAAATTGGGCAGAGTCCCTGGGGGAAGAAAACATGAAACCACATTCCATCCTATTCTATTCATAAGAATTCTCTAATTTATAGCTGAATTATGGTGAGTGACTTGAAATTCCATCTCAGTCCCCATGGTAGGAATCCAACCACATGCTCCAAAATTGTATTTTTATAGTACACAGCCAGAAACAAAGAAAAAAGACACAGGGGGGCTCTTTTAAAGTTTTTATTTTAATTCCAGTTAGTTAACATACAGTGTTAATTTCAGGAGTACAATATAGGGATGGAGGGAGGAAGGAAGGGAGGAAGGGAGGGAGGGAGGGAGGAAGGAAGAAAGGAAAAAAGACGGGGGGGGGGGGGGGGGGGGAGGAAGGAAGGGAGGGGAAGTGCAAAGAAAGAGAAAAAAAGGAAGAAAAAATAAAAGGAGGGGGGCTTTGGATATGGCTCTCCTAGCTGCATCAGACCCCCAGCCTCAGCCCGCTCCTCTCCAGCCCTCCTGGTGACCACCTTCCTCCTTGTTTTCTGAGAGTCAAGGAGTTTTCTGGGAGGCAGGATGGGAAAACTTTCAAGTGTCCTGAGATACAATATTCCCCAAATCATGATTAACTAACAGGACCTGTTAGTGACAAGCATCAAAACCAAGGACTAAATCACGATTGGACAAAACCAGAGAAAGAATAGAACCTTAAAGCCTTGTAACCTGCCAGCACATTGCTCCTTCCCCAGTACACACATGTCATGTTAAGACTGAAGCAGAGAGAGATGTCTGGGTGGCTCAGATGGTTAAGTGTCTGCCTTCAGCTCAGGTCATGATCCCAGGGTTCTGGGATTGAGCCCCATGTTGAGCTCTCTGTTCAGGGGGGAGCCTGCTTCTTCCTCTCCCTCTACCTGCCGCTCCCCCTGCTTATGCTCTCTCTCTCTGTTAAATAAATAAAATCTTTTTTTTTAAACTGAAGCAGAAAACCTGAGGCACTTCTAAAATGCACCCTAAACTGCTGTTTTTCCTCACTTACAAAGATTTCTAACCAATCAGTCCAAAAACCTGATGGAAATAGGGACAAAGGGCATGAACGGGTAGTTTATGGTCGTCACAGACTGAATGTTTGTGTCCCTCTCAAAATTCAAATGGTGAAGCCCTGCCCCCCAATGTGATGGTATTTGGAGGGGGGTGGGCCTCGGGAGTTCCTTGGGTTTAGATGATGTCATGTGGGTGAGACCCCATGATAGGATTCATGTCCTTATGAGAAGAGGAAGAAAGATCAGGAATCTCTCTCTCTCTCTCCACCACACGAGGACATAGTGTCTGCAAGCCTGCAAGCCTGAAAGAGAGACTTCGTGGGCTACCAAATCTTGATCCTGGATTTCTCAGCCTCTAGAACTGTGACAAAGAAATGCCTGGTATTTAAGCCCCCTGGTCAGTGGTATTTTGTCATAGCAGCCCGGGCTGACCAATACAACAGGGAAATAAATGTAACATATGAAAACTGTTGAACATCACCTATAATCAAACAAACGCAAAATAACACAACAGAATTCCATTTCATGCTCATTAGATTGGCAAAGAATATAAAGTTTGA